TAGGAGCTTAGAGGGGAGTTGTGTGGAAACTCTGTTAGGGTGTGTGGGGCTGTAGGAGCTCAGAGGAGCGTTGTGTGGAAACTGTTAGGGTGTCTGGGGATGTAGGAGCTCAAAGGAGAGTTGTGTGGAGACTCTGTTAGGGTGTGTGGGGTTGTAGGAGCTCAGAGGAGAATTGTATGGAGATTTCTAGAGTGTGTGGGGCTGTAAGAGCTCAGAGGAGGGATGTGTGGAGACTGTTAGGGTGTGTGGGGCTGTAGGAGCTCAGAGGAGAGTTATATGGCGACTGTTTGGGTGTGTGGGGCTGTAGGAGCTCAGAGGACATATGGGTGGAGACTCCTTAGGGTGTTTGCTAGAGTCCCTCTGTGGGTCTTCCAGATGTTTTAATTAAACACTCTGGGGCCCCTGGCCTATGCAGGTTGTAAGTTGGCTGGTAGTTGCTGGTTAAAGTGAGGCACTAGGGGGAACTGGGGAATAGCACCTGGGGTTGCCAGAGTCACCTTTAGCACTGCCTATTGGTTTGATTTCGGGAGAGTGGTATCTGAGCCGGTGGCAGACCCTACGGTGTCTGCTTTCATGCTACGAAGTCAGACATTATTGTGCAGGTGAGAGCCATTGCAGGGTTTTCTGCTAAGGAGTGGCATGTCCTGTTTGTGATTTAGAATGATCAACTTATGTTGGAGACGGAGGAATGGAGACTGGAGCCAGAAGGACCAGTTAGGAAGCTTCTGTTGTGAGCAGCACGTAAGGTGCTGGTCTGAACAGGGGTTCCGATCTGGGTGTGCAGGCTGGGGGCCGGCCAGGGGGCTCTGCGCCTCACCGATGTGGGGTGTGGGGAAGGGCCTGGGCTGGCCCTGCCTTCCAGGCTGTCTGGGGTGGTGTCTGGCACCACTTTCCAGAGGAGGGGGGAAGAGAGGCTCGTGGGGGCCGGCAGGGGCAGGTGTGGGCCAGGAGAGCAGCCGAGCTTGCAGTGATGTGGCGGTGTCCAGGAGCCAGCCGGCCCTGCAGCAGGGCTCTCAGCCGGAGGGACAGACTGGGGAGGCGGCTGTTGAGTGACGTTTGCAGTCCTGAGTGTGGTGAGGAGCTGGGAAAGGCGGTGGGAAAGACGGGCAGACCCTGCTCCCATGTGGCAGCCTAGCAGAAAGGGCACCTGTGGGCTCCTCTCACACAAACACAGATTCTGCATAAAGGAAAAGCCAACAGTGGACTACATATAGTTTTTAAAAAGAAAGGAAAATCTCTCAGTGCCAGAAACAAGGCGGGAACTTCATGTAAGCATAGTAAGCTTTTGAGCAGCCGTGTGGCAGCGCGGAGGCTGGGCGTTGGCCCCGCTGCCTCAGGCCTCCAGGGCTGTGCTTGAGCCCTGGCAGGAGCAGGGATGCATTGGGCTTGCCTAAGGCGGGGGCTAGAATTGAGACCCCCGCACAGGACTCTGGAGGTCGCTGCTCCTTCATTGAGCAATTCGGAAGCCTCACCCCATCCTAGGGAAAACAGAGGAGCTTGGAAGGGGCTGAAACCCCAAGCTGGACTTGGGTGTGGGAGCCTGGGAGCTGAGAGGTCGCTGTCTGAGTCCCAGGCCAGTGGCCTCGTTGGGTTCATGGTTAAAGTGGAGGGAAAGCCTCCAGGTGGGAAAGGCTGGGGCTTTTTACATGCTGGGGCTCACAGGGTTCCCAGAAGAAGCAGTCTGCCAAATGCGAGTTCATAAACAAAAATTACAAAGACTATGAACATGAAGAAACCATCACCATGTTGCAAAAAAAATAGGATTATCACACTAAGAACTTGAGACAGTTGTGTGATCTAAAAGACATTTTTAGGCCGGGCGCTGTGGCTCACGCCTGTAATCCTAGCTCTTGGGAGGCCGAGGCGGGAGGATTGCTCAAGGTCAGGAGTTCAAAACCAGCCTGAGCAAGAGCGAGACCCCGTCTCTACTATAAATAGAAAGAAATTAATTGGCCAACTGATATATATATATAAAAAATTAGCTGGGCATGGTGGCGCATGCCTGTAGTCCCAGCTACTCGGGAGGCTGAGGCAGGAGGATCACTCGAGCCCAGGAGTTTGAGGTTGCTGTGAGCTAGGCTGACGCCACGGCACTCACTCTAGCCTGGACAACAAAGTGAGACTCTGTCTCAAAAAAAAAATAAAATAAAAAAAAAAAATAAATAAAAGACATTTTTAGAAATGAAGCTGTTTTCTCTGAAATTTAAAACTCAGCAAATGGTTAAATAGCAGAGTGGACATAGCTGAAGAAAGAATTAGTGAACAGGAAGATAGATCTGAAGAAATTCTCAAGAGTACAGTAACAGAAAGAAAGTAGCAAACAGTGGTTACAATCACAGAGGAAACACGACATCCTGTGAGATGTGGTAGCCCAGGTGTTAAGTATCATCATCATTCTTAAGGTTTCAAAACAACAACCCATCTATTCATCTTTGCTATTTTATTTTTTTCAGTCTTTCCCGTAAAGGCAGTGAGTTTTGGGGAACCACACAAATGCTGAATGTTAAGTTTCTGCCTTCAGACCCTAATCACTTTATTGTCGGCACAGACATGGTGAGTAGTACTTCAAGTTTCATTCTATTACTCGGTCTTCCTAGAGTTACCTGGTAAATATCTTCACTGAAGATCAACTTACAGTTTGCTTTTATCGTGATGCCATCCAAGCTGTTTCAAGACCGTGGCTTTGTCCAGCCCCATGCTGACGCTTTTCTCGTGCTCACCAGGGGCTGGTGGGCCACAGCACCAGGCAGGACCTGAGAGCCTCGCCCAAGTCCTTCAAGCCTCGGCAGTGCGGCACTAGACCCGTCAAAGTCAATGTGATTGATTTCTCGCCATTTGAAGAGCCAATATTTTTGGTAAGAAAGTCTGTTTTTTAAGGCACCAGTTCTTTTCGAGTGGCATTGAAATGCCTATTTGGGCAGTTGACACTTGGAGTGACCGCTGGAAAGTTTTAAAAGTTAGTCATTTACTGGGCCACAGATTGATCATTATTAGGCCTCAGTGGTCTAAAAAGGAGAGACGTGACATTAGTAACAAAGAAAATTTTTAAAAAACCGACATAGAAATTAAACTCCATTGAGTAATACTTTGTTCAGTTACAAACTATTTCAAATTTAATAGAAGAATATCAAATATCAAAACCTGTGACACAGCCAAAGAGGTAAAGAAATTCTTAGTGTAAGAATTTTTGCCTTGGGTTTTTATCATTTAGCAAAACATAATATTTTACACATGAATATTCAGGGTCTTTAACCTGAGAAGCCAGAGGAAGGCCGGGGCTGGCTGTGGGTGTGTCGGAAATGCCCGGCGGGCAAGGGGTCCTCGCTCTGCCCCTGCCGGGCCTGTGTCGGCCTGGTCACCCCGGTCCTGCTCACCGTGTTTTTCCAGCATGTGGACTCCAAGGTCAGCTTGTTGGATTGGTTGGGATAAGACAGGAGAGAAGGCGAAATATTTTTAAACTTTATACATGATTGAATCTAACTGTGGACAGGTGTCCCAGCATCAGAGCGTTAACTTATGTGGAACTCCGGTGCCCCTTCCCTCTCTTGTCCTCACAAACCTCCCTGCACGGGAGACTGACGGGAAGGATTGTTCTGTGTTCACACTGCTCTCACAGCACCTGAAACACATGAAAATCCACGTTTCTGTGTCAGCGCACCTACCCATTATGAGATTATTGAGGGCGGAGATGGTGTTTCCTGCATCTGTGTTTTTCCCAGACTGCACCTGAGCTGTTGAGTGTGTTGGGTACTTGAAACGTGGTGGAGTTGAGATGTGCTGCAGGTGTGAAACACACACTGAAGTGTGAAGAATTAGTGTGAATAAAAGGATGCGAGGCAGCGGGTATGATGTGCATGCCTGTAGTCCCAGCAACGTTAAATCTTGTTTTCGTGACAACATATGAAAGAACATCGATGTTCTCCAAAAGGACTCGTGTGTTTCCTGGCCTCAGGCCTAGCTGGGGCCCAGAGTCCAGAGGTGCGGGGATGCTGCAGAAGGCTGTGACGGGGCTGGGCAGGGCCTCTGGAAGGTTCTCCACCCACCTTCTGTCCATAGCCCTCCAAATGGAGGCCCTGCGGGGCCTTGAGGACCCTGTGGCCTTGGGGCCACATGTGGCCTCTGGATCCTTAAGTGTGGCCTTTTGACTGAGTCCAAATGTTACAGAACAATCCTAATAATAATAAATGAATTTGTTCTGTGAAGTTTGGACCCAATCTAGGGGCTGCACTTGGGGATCCGGAGGGCCATGTGAGGCCCCAAGGCCACGGGGTCCCCACCCCTGCAGGGGGAGGGCTCCCTGGGGGTGGCTCAGTCCTTAGTTTCCTGGGAGCCCTATCTGTGTGCTCAGAAACCATTCCACATGGTTATCCCATAGGTCTTTTCTAAGACACTTCTTATTTTGACATTATTTCAGGATTTTAGAAAAGTCACAAGAACCGTTCAAAGGGTTCCTGCCCATCCTCTGCTGCCACGCCAGCTCCCTCCTCCCTGTGTGTGCCCAGGGTGACCATCTGAGAGCAAGCAGCAGACATGACACTCCACCCCCAAATAGCTCACTGTTTCTTACAAGCAGGAACATTCTCACGTAGCCGCCATGGTCCTAGCCATCGGGACATCAGCACTGGCACAAACCCGTTATGTGATCGCAGACCTTGGGATTCCATAGATTGTCCGGTAAAGTCCTTCATAAGCAGAATGACGTCCCAGGTCATGTGTGGTCAGTTCCTGTGTCTCGTAAGTGTCCTTTGATCTGCAGAGTGTCTCAGTCTTCCATGACCTTGACACTTAACAGGCAAGGCTCCTTATCCTTAGCATGTTCCCGTGGAGGAGCCTGCCTGGGTCTCCTCGCAACGAGAGGCGGGTTTTCGCCTGCTCGGCTAGGAGAGCTCGGCAGGGCTGCCAGCGTGGGAGACCGAGGCCTCGTACCTTCCCTCCAGCCCCCAGCTGTGGTTCTCGCCATGTGGCGCCTCTGCGTCCTTTTCTAAGCAGCGGCGTCTGTGAGGAGTGGGGTGGCCCTTTGTCAGTGTCCCGACTCTCCTCACGTGTTCACCTGCCGGTGTGGGCATCCACTGACAGTTCTTGCCTGAGCCTGTTATTGGGATGATGGGCGAGTGGCGGTTTTCTAGCCTTGCTATTCTGCACTTCCTCACTGGCTTTCTGCTGTGTGGAAGATCCTTTCGTTTTCCGCCATGTGCAGGTGCATGTGCATGTCCACATGGCGTGGACACGTGGCTTTTCCCTGACTCCGTGGTCATGAGCATCTGCTGCGGTGTGTACCTTGCTGCTGAGGCTGGTGGGCGTGTCTCAAGCTGGCTCTCGTGTCCTTTTGACATCGCTTCTCCAGGAGCCCTGGCTCTTATAGTGGAGAGACGTCCCTAGAACTCCCATGTGTGCTGGGCACACACGGTGCCTGCCTTTGTCTGTAAGCCACATGCATGTTCACACCCACCTCTCTAGTTTCAGGTTAGCAAACGGGGTTCCCTCCCCTTTCCATGTTTGTACCCCGCTTCTCAGACAATGGGGGACCTGGCTCTACCTGCGTGCTACTTCTAATATACCTGCAGATTTGCTCGAGGGATTTGGGGATGCACGGGGCCGTTCCGAAGCCCCTGAGTGGAGTCCGGCACCCAGGGCCCGTGTGAGTCCATGGTGCTGCCACACTGCATGCAGAAGTCGTCTGGCTTTGTCCTCCCCCTCCTTCCTGTGTGGTTGTGTTCCTTATTTGGAATATAGATTTTTAACTTTGTTTCTATTTGTATTTCACTTTAGACTTTTATTCCCATTGTTGATTTTCTTTTCTTTTTTTTTTTTGAGTATGTAAAGGATTAAATATGTTGAGTAAATAGCAACTGATTTTCTCTCTATAAGCTAAAAATTTATTTTTATTACTAAACCAGGTAAGTTTGGCTTTATGAAAATTTCAATCCAAGGTGAATACATAACTATATTATTGGTGCAAATGTATATAAATTTTTTTTTAAACATGACTTTTTAAAAAGTGACTCCACTTCCCTGGAGCCAGTCATCTTAATGGCCTGTGCGTGAATCAGTTATAGTTAACTATGTTAAAAATAAACACCTCTTTGTGCATTCCCTGAACCCACTGACTTGGGGCCATCTGGGGATGGGTGGGGTGCAGAGTGTATCAGAGTCTCCAAGGTGAGTGCTCACCTTTGTAACTTGTGAGGACAGATTTAATGGTATAAATTTATGTTCAGAAAAAAAAAATAAACGTTTTTGCTGTACAAACTAAAGAAAGCCAATGCTCTGAAAATTTTCCTGGGCTGCTGAGATTGAGTTAGAAAAAGAAAACAGAAACACGACCACCAGTCTCCACCCCCTCCCTGCAGGCTGGCTGCTCGGACGGGAGTGTCCGGCTGCACGGGCTCGGCTCGGAGCTCCCCCTGCTGCAGTGGGACAGCAGCACGGATGGCCACGCCGTCACCGGCCTGCAGTGGTCCCCCACGAGGCCTGCCATGTTCCTCGTCCAGGACGACATGTCCAACGTCTACGTGTGGGACCTCCTCGCCAGCGACCTGGGCCCGGTGGCCAGACAGCCCATCTACCCAGACAGGTGCGTGGCAGAGCTCGGCGAGGGCCGCCGGTGACTTCGGGTGGGGCGTCTCCGATAGTCTTTCTCCTTATTGAGTCTACACGTAAGGTTGCTACACTTTAAGACGTGGCTTTTTATATTTCAATTTAAGTAATGTGTTTATATATTTAAATTATATTACAAAATACTTAATTTTTTAGAGCAGTTTTAGGTTCACAGCAAAATTGAGTGGCAGGTACCAAGGTTTCTCACGTGCCCCATTGTCAACACCTGCCCCAGAGGGTGCGTTTGTCACAACTCATCGCCACCCAGAGCCCATGGTTACGTCAGGGGGTGCTCTTGGTGTTTTTATATTTAGCCCCAAATCATTTGTTGGGTGGGGGTTCACTGTATTTCCCCGCCATGATCACTCTGTGGATGCGGGACAACCGCCAGAGCGTCTTGGTCACGTCTACTAGCCGGTCTCACACGCTGCCCTCTCACCCCAGCCCGGCCCTGCCGTGCCCTCTCACCCCAGCCCGGCCCTGCCGTGGCGCTCTGGGCTCACGTGGATCCACACGTGAACTGCGGCCGTGCGCAGCCATTGGCTTCACTGTTCCACGGCACGCGAGCGTTTTGAGTCTTCGTCATGAAGCCATCTCTCGTCACCCCGGTGCCTGTTCACCTGTGCTTTCTGGAGATTTTGCATTTCCTGTCAGTGCAGTCTCTGACTGTGTGGGCCTCTGACCTGGGGACGGGAGGGGCGTGGCTGCAGCCCCACAGCCCTTTGTGACGGTAGAGGAGGGAGGAGGGTGACCAAGAGCAGGTGCTGGTCGGCCAGAGTGCCAGGGCGTTCCGGGGAGATCTGAGAGGCTGCATTTGTTTGGTTTGAGTCCTGGGCAGACTCACATTGTTCCAGTTATTAAAAAATACACAAAAAACCCAGACTGTGATGCACATATACGCAGATAACGCCCCACAGTTCGCTATTCTCGAAAGTATGCAGTGCCCTCCCGAGTGAATTCCCACTAACCGAGTGCCGGCTGTGTGCCATCGCCGTGCCCCTGGGGCCTCTCGCTCCCTGGGGAGCAGGACAGATACTGACGGACCAGCAAGCAGGTGTGCACACACGTCTGGGGCGTGTGCTGTGAGGACGCAGGACAGGGCATCTGCCGTGTGGGCAGGATGGGTGGGGTGGGCCTGCTGAGGGTGTTTGGGCACAGGCCTGAGGTTGGGGTCTGGGGTGGGGGCGGTGGGCCTGCCTGGGGTGCTCCAGGGCAGCAGAGCAAGGATCCAGTCTGTCGGGTCCAAGCGCAGCTCCAGAGCAGGTGTTTGCCTGTCAGCTGGCCTGCTCCGTCCTGGCCCGGAGCCCAGCTGGACCGCCGGGCAACAGCGTCCGCCTCGGGGGCCCAGGAAGGAGGCACCTAGACTGGCACGGAGCCCTCCTGCGCACTGCCCGTGGTGCAGAGGGCGCCGGGCCTTCAGCTGCAGGAAACATGGGGCAAGAAGAAACCGATGGTCTAGAAGGAAGGAGTTTGGGTTGGGTGCACTCAGGGCCTGCCACTTCCGGAGTGAAGTTAAAGTTCTCAGCGCCCCGCTCCGCGTGGTGGAGAAGTGGCTGGTGCTTGGGAGCCGGCAGTGCCCCCAGGCTGGGGGGGGCTCTCGTGGGGCGGCCGTGGCGGGAGAGGACTCCAGCTCCGTCTGCACCCTTCTGCTTGGATTCTGTCCAACTCACAAATCGGAAGGGTATTTTTAAAAATTGACCAGCGATGGTGCTAGCTGGAGCTTGCACATCTATTTTAGATGTTTTAAAGAACCGAGAGATGGTTTACCGATGAGCTGAGTGGCATTCACCCTACTCGGTTGCTGGCCCTGGCCAGGGGAGCCGCTGGGGTCTGTTGCCCGTTGGCTGTTCCTGAGCTTGTGTTGCACACTCGTCGGGACGGCGGGCTGAGGTGTGGGGCGATTGGTGGAAATCACGGTGACTGGCGGGTTTTCAGTCTGCTCCTTCAGGGCTTCGTGAAGTCCCCTCACCCCACCCCAGGTATCGCCTGGGTTCTCCTGATCAAGAGCCCGAGAGCCCGCGGCGAGAGTGAGCAGCCAGAGGGACGTCCCAGGCCTCGTCCCACTTGCTCAGTCGGGCCCTGAGGCTGCTTGGGCCTGGCTGTGGCCTTGACGTGGCACCTTGTGTGGTGGCTGCAGTGGCCCCATTGTGGGGTGCAGCCCCCATCTCAGGAGCCTGGGGGTCTTGGGTCTTGTGTCGTAGGGACAGGGTTTACAGGACATAGGTAGCAGTCAGGCCCTTGTGGGGCCACCACAGAGGGACTCCCTGTCCCTGCAGTGGCACCTGGCGCCGGCTACCCCGGGCCAGGACACTGTCAGACAGGACAGGAAGGGGTGGCGCTGGGTCGAACGTGTCCTCCCCACATGGCCATTGGACCTGACGGGGTCCAGGCAGCGGTGCTGGGAGGTCTCTGGGGTGATGGCTCAGCCACGTCTCTGCAGAGTGGGCGGACCAGTGGGCAGGAGGCCCAGGGGCACAGGAGGGTTTGGGGGAAGTGGAGCCCCTGAGGGCATGGGAGGGTGGAGGGGTGGGGAGCCCCTGAGGGCACGGGAGGGTGGAGGGGGCAGGGATGCCCAGGGACACGGGGTGGGTGTGGGGGAGGGGGAGGCCCCGAGGGCACATGTTCCTGCAGGCGGACTTCAGAGGTGGCTTCTGAGTCTGCCCACCGTGAAGGTGAGGTCAGAGATGGCCAGGTTGGAAGGTTGTGGTTGTCAGAGAAGTCGGGGACAGCCTCCCCTTGGGGACAGTGGTGGACACAGGATACTTGGGAGCAGGTGAGGGTGTGGGGACAGCCATCCCCTGTCCTGGGCTTGGTGGCTGGTGGAGTCGCTGTCCTTGTGGAGGCTTGTGAGTTGTTGTGAGATCTGGGGAGCAGTGGAGAGACCGCCAGGGACCCCCAGGCTGGGACCCCCATGCTGGGGACCCACTGCCAGGCTTGGGGTCTCTGGGGTGGGGCTGTCTGGACTGTTGGCTGTCCCCCTTCTCCCAGGGACTAGCCTGGAACCGTGCGGAGAGGACCCGGTCGGGAGCCTCGTCTAACAGCCAGTCTCAGCGTCAGACCTCTGAGATGCGGGAACATGTTTTCAAAACGTTTTCTGTAGAATTTCATACATTTACTTCTGGTCTAACGTTTAATATTGCCTATTGATGTTTTTAGAGTCTCTCTTCCATTTCATCCCTCCCTGGGCAGAGAGATCTCAGAGGCTCAGAAATAACGGCGCCCCGCGCATGCACTGCCGCTGACGCCCCTCTCCCCACAGGCTGGTGGCCATGGCGGTCGGGGGCGAGCCGGACAAGGCCAGCGGCAGCGTGCTGGCCCTGGTGCTGGCCCGGGACTCCGGCGCGGTCGACGTCCAGTTCCTGCTCAGGCAGTGGGCAGCCCCGGAGGCAGATGAGCGCGGCCAGCTGCGCCTGCTTTTGCAGGAAGCCCTGTGGAAAGAGGAAAGACGGCTCGAGTGACAGGTGCGGCTGGGAGCACAGTGTTCATGTGACGACCCGATCTGAGAGACATAATTTCACATCTGTGTGCGTGTATATTCATGTATGTAGAGTATGTATATTCTGTACATAATTCATTTTACAAGAATGTTACTTTGGAATTCCCAGTAAATAAATCACTATTTTTGAACAGAAACAAATGAACATTTTACTGGATGCTACACGTCAAAGAAACAGTTGTGTCCAGGATGCTCTTTGAGTATTTTAGTTATTTTTACAACATTTAAAATATTGCCACATTCATTACTAGACTCTTAACAGTCCACCATGAAGTTGTATTTCAATGGACTATTTTTTACTTATGCATAAAGTGATATATATATATATACACGTCTAAATTAAAAGGAATGACTCCACTGAAATGACCTCTGCCAACGGTGTTTTCTTAAAGCTTTTCTTGGGCATCTTCTTTTGGCCTCATTTGAATGTCTCTTATGGGGTCAAGTCAGACTCATCTGCATTATGCTTTAGTATTAAAAATTGTTTTTGTATAGGAACAATACAAGGAAATAAATTCTCCTGAAGTTTGCAACTCAAATATAACAGGAACAGAAGGCATCTTAGTCCATTTGTGCTGCTGGAACACAGTGACTTGGACTAGGTAACTTATATAGAACAGAAATGCCCTTCCCCTGCTCTAGCGGCCGGAAGTCCAAGATCAAGGCGCCAGCAGCCCTGCCGTCCCGCGCGGCTGCTCTCTGCTCCCGAGGCCTGTTGCCACACCCTCACGCAGAGATGCACGCCGGCGCGGGGCTCTTTCCTGACAGCGGCGATCCATCCGTGATGGCTCTGCCTCTCAGAGGTGCCATCACCTTGGGGGGACAAGACAGGAGGATTCTGGGAGTGAAACCAGGGAAAAGCCAGGACACGGTCCATAGGCCCACTCCTGTGCCTCTGTCTTCCGCACCTTTCCCGAACGTTCCCAGCACAGTTGGCTGCCGATGGGCCCGTGAGGTGAGACAGGACCGGCGTGTTTAAACCTCACTGGGTCACAGAACAGCCTCCACGTAGGCAGCGGCACTGCAGCGGCAGGTCTGGGGCCCCACCCAGGGCTCCCCGATGCCGTGGACATGCCAGCTCCAGGACTGTAGCGGGGCTACAGCGGGACTTCTTGGAGTGGCCTCTGTCGCTCCACCGAGCAACCTGTCAGCCTTCATTTCCTTTTTCATTAAGTTGATTTGAAACCGTCCTCCTTACAAAAAGAGTTGAGAAGGGATAACATAGACTTTCCCCTCCCTGTCCAAGCCCCACCCAGGAGGCTCAGTCCTCTGGGCACACAGATGCGCGTGTGAATGCACCGGTTTGGGGAGATGTCGTGGAGGGTGGGGGTGTCAGTGGTTGGTACTGACAGCCCACACGTCCCTCCTCTGTCCCACAAAAGCAGGACCATGGAGGCACACAAGTAGACGTGCAGCAGGTCCCTGTCACATGGCGGCTGGGCACCAGCTGCTCCTCTGTGCCCTCTCCACCCAGGCTCATGGCTGCCCCAGTGCAGGTGAGGCAGGTGCCCTGCCCCCTCGGGGTCCTCACCTGCACCCTGCTTCATGATGGGTCCCAAGCGTCTAAAGATTGACGTCATTTGCAAGTTTTTAGCTTTCAGATTCCATCTCATTTAAAATTAGAATTAATCTTGTCCCTCTTTTTGGGCCCCCAGTTTGTGTTGGTGTCGGTGGGTTCTCAGGCGTGACCCTGTAGTCCCCCAGGCGTGTCCCTTCTCTCTCTCTCTCTCTCTCTCTCTCTCTCTCTCTCTCTCTCTCTCTCGCTTGACTGGGGGGCTCCCCGGGGGGGCGCTGGGCGTGGGCCTCGGTCTTGGAGGTTGCTCCACAGCCCGCTCTCGACGGGCATCGTCTGCAGCGCTGAGCTGCACACGCGGGCGCAGCAACACGTGCAGAACAACGCTGCACCTGGTCGTCCGGCAGCTCGAGGACACCTTCCTCCCAGCCGCCACCCAGGGCCCCACTCACACTGCCGCAGGGACGAGAGGGTGAGAGGAGGCCCCGCTCTTCGCGATGCTGGATCTGAAACGCTGCCCTGGAGCCACCCTCGGCCTGTGTCGACATGGCCGTGTGGCCTGTGCGGCCACCACTCCGCAGTGCTGTCACACGTTTCCTTCCTTCTCGGCGCCCTTCCCGGCAGGTGTGTGTGAGCCGCACAGAAATGTGAAGCTTGCAAAGAAAGAAAAGCCCAGAAAGCCCAAGTGATCTGCCTTCAGCCAGGTCTCCAGGGAAGACTTGGCTGCGTTTGCCTGGGAGCCGCCTCCCCAGCAGCCGCGAGCGAGCGAGCGATGCCTCCCCTTGGCCCGGCGACACCCACAGGCGTCTGCGGAGGGAAAACAAGGCAGGCAACAGACGGGGCGGCCGCAGCCGCTGGTTAAGGACAAACACACTTCATTGCACACGAGCAAGACAGGCCCAGAAGGAAGAGAACAACGGCATGGAAGCCGGCTCTGCTCACGCCCTGGGCTCTCCCGCGTGCTCTGTCCACCGGCGCGGCGGCCAGGCCGTGCCCTTTCCGCAGAGCGTCCCCACACGGGTCCCCCGGGCCAGCCGGGGTGTCGCCGCACCCACGTGGGAGACGCCCAGCACGCTGCTGCACTAAGGCAGCGTTTTCTTCTAGGAGCAGACAATGGAAATGCAATTTTTTTTGTCACATTGTTATTTAGAAATCACTTTTCTTTCAACATTTGTCACAAGTATAAATAAAGCATTTCTTATTTTCATGTGTGGCTGATTTGTATAATTATTGTGCTCTGCTTCAGTGGACTGAAAGCTATTTTTTATTTTATTTTATTATTATTATTATTATATTTTTTTTTTTTTTGAGACAGAGTCTCGCTTTGTTGCCCAGGCTAGAGTGAGTGCCGTGGCGTCAGCCTGGCTCACAGCAACCTCAATCTCCGGGGCTCAGCGATCCTCCTGCCTCAGCCTCCCGAGTAGCTGGGACTACAGGCATGCGCCGCCACGCCCGGCTCATTTTTTCTATATATATTAGTTGTCCAATTAATTTCTTTCTATTTATAGTAGAGATGGGGTCTCGCTCTTGCTCAGGCTGCTTTTGAACTCCTGACCTCGAGTAATCCGCCCGCCTCAGCCTCCCAAGTGCTAGGATTACAGGCGTGAGCCACCGCCCCCGGCCGAGGGTTTTTTTTAAATGTCACTTTAAAGATGTCATCTGTTGTCATCCAAGTTTCCAAGAAGTCCACAGTACTGTGATGTTGGTTCCTGTGTATGTGACATTGCCTTTTCCTCTGGCTGCTTCTAGGAGTTTCTCTTTGTGCTTTTTCACCAGCCGTTTGAATATGACACGGGGTTTCACTCTTTTCTTTATACTGCTTGGCGCTCTGAGCCTCTTGGGTCTGTGGTTTGGCGTCTTCCATTAATTTTGGAAAATTATCAGCCATTATTTCCTAAAACATTTCTTCTTCCCCATTCTCTCTCTCTGGGATTCCGACAATGCCCACGTCAGCCCGTTTGACACGCCTCACAGCCTGTGGACACCCCACTCTATCCTCCGTGTTTCCGTTTCCATCCGGGTCCTTTCCGTGGTGCTGTCTTCAAGGTCAGGATGCTTGGACTCTTCCCTTGGCTGTGTGGCATCTGCGGGTTAGGGTTAGGAGTTAGGGGTTGGGGTTGGGGTTAAGGGCTTGGGGTTGGGGTTAGGGACTTGGGGTTGGGGTTAGGGGCTTGGCGTTGGGGTTAGGGTTAGGAGTTGGCATTGGGTTAGGGTTAGGGGGTTGGGGTTAGGGTTAGGGGTTGGGGTTAGGGTTAGGAGTTGGGGTTGGGGTTAGGGTTAGGTGATTGGGGTTAGGGTTAGGGGTTGGGGTTAGGGTTAGGAGTTGGGTTAGGGTTAGGGTTAGGGGGTTGGGGTTAGGGTTGGGGTTAGGGGTTGGTGTTGGGGTTAGGTTTTGGGGCTTGGGTTGTGATGTGTGTATTTCTGTGTGTGTTGTGTGGTATTTGTGCGCTGTGTGGTGTGATGTATGTGTGGTGTATGTATACATGCATGTGAATGTGGTGTGATGTATGTGTGTGTGTGTTGCGTGCATGCTGTGTGGTGTGATGTGTGTATTTATTTGTCTGGTGTGTGATATGTGTGCGCTGTGTGGTATGATGTATGTGTGGTGTATGTATACATGCATGTGGATGTGGTGTGATGTATGTGTGTGTGTGCTGCATGCAGTTGTGTGGTGTGATGTGTGTATTTCTGTGTGTGATGTGTGGTATGTGTGTGTTGTGTGGTAATATGTATGTGTGGTGTATGTATCGTGCATGTGGATGTGGTGTGATGTGTGTATATGTGTGTGGTGTGTGTGGTTGATGTATGCATGTGTGTGTGTTATGTGTGGTGTGCTGTGTGCGTGTGTGTGTGTGTGTGTGTGTGTGTGTGTGTGTCATATTCAAGACTGGCTGTTGGGAAAGGCCCGGAGCTTTGAGTTAATTGTGGGCGTCTTGCAGGTGGTGAGAACTGAGCAAACGTGAGCCTTCACCTGTATCAATTCTGAAGAACAGCGAAGTACATGGATAAATTGTGGATAAATGTGGTGAACTCGGGAAAAATAAAAGACCAAATCCCTCGGCGTGTGTGTGCGTGTGGTCATGTGTAAGAACCTTAGTCGAAAGGAATCCAGGGTTTGGGTGTTTCCACAGCAACAGAACAACAAACACCAACGCAGAAATAGGGGAAAAGTCTAAAATAAAATTGCCCTTGTAAGGCTCCACTGGCTGCTGCCTCTGGACAGGGCGGAGCGCACGCCCACGGACCGCCGCCTGTCCCTGCCGCGCGGTCTGTGCCGGGCGCAGCCGCCTCTGCACCGCGCAAGCCCTGGCTCGCTGGATTCTGGTTTGTTCCTGGGTTACTTTCTGCCTCCCTTCGTGCTTAATGAGGAAGCTAGTGAGCGAGTGTAGCAGGTCTGGCCGCTGGCCGTCTCTGCGGGTCCCTCAAGCGCGGCTAACGCCGGCCGGTCGGCGCTCAGTCGGGACGCGGCCGAGAGGGAGATGTGAGAAATGAAAGTCCCGTGTTCTCAGTGCGACACCCCACGGCAAGGCCTGAAATTAAACTCCTCTTGGCCCCTCGGAAACGCCGTAGCTGTAACGGCTAGCATAAGGTTGACAGTTTGTAAGGAATCCGGATTTTCCCTTAAATTAAAAAATAAACTAGTTTTGGCTTAAAAAGCATCTACTTTTCGTCAGAGGAAAGGTTAAATTTCTAGATGGCCCCTGTGTGAGATTTGTGAAGGAATTGCTTTGTAAAAATTGGGATTTGCCGCTTGTTTTGTGGCACATTTGAGCAGTGTCTGGAGCACAGTGGCCGCCACCTCACCCCCACGGCCACACGACATCAACAACCGAACACGGCTATGCACTCTGCGTCGCGGCCCCGTCCCCGCGGTCCCCACGGCCGGTGTCCCTGGTGGTGAGGTGGCCCCGTCGCAACCGCTTGTGCGTGAGGAGACCAGGCCCAGAGAGCACGGGAGACTTGCAGCCCGGGGGGCCGGGGGGCCCAGAGAACCGGGTGGGTTCCTGCCGGAGACCCTGGCGTCCCCCAGAAACACGGCCGGGCGGCGTCGCCGGGCTCTGGTGGGCAGCGCTGGCGAGTCACACTGAGGACATGAGTGAGCTGGGGCGCCGTTGCGGCGTCAGTCCTGGCAGCCGTCTTCGGGGCTCGCGAGCGTGGACAGAGTCCTCTGTTCCCGGCAGAAACCTTCACAGCGCTGGAGGTGACGCCGGCCTCTCCTCTGGCATCTTCCTCGCGACGCCCCCTGCTCTGCAGCAGGGCCGCGGCGGGAAAGCCCTTCCTTCCTGCGCCCCAGTCCGGGTTTCTGCCTGTGGAACGTGTTCCTTAGGACTCCCTGGGGGCGTTCGCTGCTTACTGGAAATGCAGCGCTCTCTGAGGTGGCCGTGGCCCGCCGTGGGCGGATGCCGATTTAGGGGAGACGGCCCCCCTAGATTTTAGATGTACCGGGAGAGTCTCAGCCCTGGAGACCGAGGCTCTGCTGTGGACTGACGTGTGTTATTTTCACAGCCGAAGTATGATTATGTTTCTCTGGAGTTTTAAGAAGCTCATTCCCAAAAGACGTCTTTCACGGATGCTATCTGGGACCAACACTGTGACTGGACAGGTCCGGCAGCCACGTCCCGTCCTGGCCGCTTTGGCTGCCACGTGCGACACAAGGCGTGGCGCCCTCCTTCAGGAGGCCGCCCGTGTGCCCGGCCCCGCCCCGCGGCCCTTCTTCCCGTGGACACCGTTCCCTTCTGGGGACGCGCCGGACCCGGCTTGTCCGTGTGAGTGGCCTCGCCAGATTTAATGTGTGTGGGTGGAACTCTGTATCTGAAATTACCTCTACGTTGCCTTCATTTTTCAAGGTGTTTCCACTAGACACTGAATTCTAGTTTGATAGTTTCTCTTCCAACACCTCGAGGGTGCCGCTCCGGTCTCATTTCCCTTGTTTCTGACGAGCCTGAGGTCTGAGCTGCAGGCCCTGCCCCGGGGCCTGCCTCACACGGCGCCTCTGCGCAGCTCGCCGGGTCCAGCCGCGGCTGCTAAGCTCCTCGCCATGGCCGACGCACGGGCAGTCCAGGGAGCTTAAACTCAGATTTGGGGCTCCACGTGCTTCTCTGCCTTCCAGAATTCCCCCTCCTCAATTCTGGCTGGCCCGGAACCCCTGTGAGGACGGCTGCTTTCATTCTGCGCCTCCCAGGGGAAAAGCCGTGCAGCCCCCAGCCTAGCGCAGCCCCCTGCGAAGCTCACGCCTCCGAAATCAGCCTGCGCTTGGTGGCGGCCGGGCTTCCAGCCGCCGTGTTTGTGTCCCATTCAGAGGACCGTGGGCCGGATCCACACCCCACCGCGACCAGCCTGCAATTCTAGGAATAAACCGAGGACTCTGATTCGAGTCCAGTGACTCACGTTGCCCAGGTGGCTTGTCTCAGATGGAGCTCGCCGGAGAGCCTCTCGGGCGATGTCTCGATTCTTCTCACACCTGTTGGCCGCCCCCCCCCCCCCCCCCGCTTGTTTTACACCGTTTCCTGCTCCTGGTCTTCCCGTCTAACATGGCCTTGGTTCTGGAGGAATAAAACGCTTTCCTACCTAGGCCACATCCCTCCACAACTGGGCTTTGAGACAGTGGTCACCGCCCAGCCTGGTCACCTGCCGTCCCCCTCTGAGCCCAGCAATCACATCTTCTTTCTTTTGTCACCCTCTTTGGCCTCAGATACTGGTCCTCTAAGGTCACATTCTCTGTGGTTTGGGGACACTTCCTCCTTCTGGTCTGCCCTGGGTTTGTAATAAAATGCCTGTAATTCTCATACAACATAGACATCCTTGTTCTCTAGGATTTAGCCATATTTTCTAAAGACATTTCCATGTTAAAGAACCAAGAAGTTCATGTTTCCAAGGCTTGACTTCATCCTGAGTGTCCACCGCTGTGCTCAGACCCTCACCACATTCTACACCCAGAGGTGCAAGGTTTGGCGTCTGCTGCGTGACTTTGAGAGTGTGTGTACGCATGTACATGTATAGATTTCTTTTTTATAGAGATGGGATCTCCCTCTGTTTCTCAGGCTGGAGTGACATGATCACAGCTCACTGCAGCCTCCAACTCCTAGGCCAAAGAGATCCTCCTGCCTCAGCTTCCTGAGTAGCTAGGACTACAGGTGTGCACCACCACACCCAGCTAATTGTAAAAAAAAAAATCTTGTAGAGATGAAGTCTCGCTATGTTGCCAAG